ATTGCATGCGTCCTTTATCTGCATGATAGCTCACTCATTTTACACGCAGAAGTACTCATTTTAAAGCTTATTTTGAGCACTATAAAAACCCATTTTCATATCTAGCCTAATAATGTTCCTAAAACACTATAAAATAACGATTTATTAAGATTTTAATTGATATAATTCTGTTCATTACATGATTTTCGTTAAAATGTATATTTTTGAAGGTGTTAGCAAAAAATGATGAAAAACGCAAAAAAAAAAAAAATATTCAGTAGCCAGTAACTTGAAAAGTATTTCGTTTTTTGAAAAACATTATTAAATATTTTTCTCGTATAATTAGTTCTTTTATCGATACCCAACGTTATTTTGAAAAAAGTAAAATTACACCACTGAAAAGAAATGTCATCCACCCGAGAAGTGGTAAAGGAGTCTAAATTGTTTTCACTTCTGAAGAGTAAGATGAACCTAGTTTCAAAATTCCAAACGAATTGGAAAATAGTAAAAATTTCAGACCCAAAGCGCTCCATTGAGTAAATATTCCGTACCCAATGACAAACATATGAATTTTTGACACAATGAAACTTCTAAATAATTTTTTTTGTATTGTGATTTAGTATAGTAAGGCAAAACGACTGCAAATTGAATATGTTTGAGCGCAATCACTTATGGCTCGCTCCTTTGCGCGAATTCGTACGGCGAATCTGTTCGCAAAGTGCGCAAACAAAATTATTGCAAGCAAAAGCAAACCACGCGCACGTCAGACGCATGCGCAGACTGCATCACTTGTCAAATGCATGTTAAATTATTTGCATCTTATATTAATTTAATTTTTGGCACATCTCAGCTGCTTTTCGGCATTAATAATGTAGACATTAAATTTTCCTTATTCATAAATATGAATTTATTATATTCTAATATCGCCTTAGCCTATAAGTGAATAGAAATGTTTGGCAAATGACAGTCCTCAATTGTTTTTAATGTCAAACTAAGCTTCAAATATTTTCAAGGGCAAACAATGATAAGCGGTTTTTTGTAATTTTTTCTATTTATTTCTACAATCTAACTATATTTCTATGAATCAAAACATTCTAAAAAATTTCCCGAACAAACTTCAGGAAGATTCATGAAAATCCGAATTATAGTTTAGGAGGAAATATGAAACTTACATTGTTACAGAAGAATTTTATATATAAGATATAGCAAAATAGTAATGACGGTATATATTTTTTAACTTTCTGAATGAGAAGTATAAAGTTTTGCTAATAAATTCGACTTGCGAATTTTATGTTTCCTCAACGTATCAAACCATTCTGCAATTTTGAATCGTTCCAGAACAAATTTTGAAAAAGTATATGTATGTGTGAGGCGAAATTTGACCTACCGTCAACGTTTTTGCAAAAAATGGCTAAATCGATTTTAAAAATTTTAAATTTATTCAATGTAACTCGATAAGAACTAAACTATTTTTTCAACGTTAAGCTAGAAATCATAAACCTTTTTTAAAAATTTGAAAACCCTTTGAAAAGTATTAGTTGAGAATTGTGGTGATTAGTTAGTAGACGAGTAGATGAAACCTCTGATGATGATCGAGTTAATGGTCTTAAAAAATATTATGGGTCTACAGCAATTTGTTTAATTATAAAAATTCATCAAAATTTAGATTAATGGAGAGCATCAAAACTTTAAAATTTATCATGATTTTATTAAAAATGCTAAATCTCAAATCTTATTAATTAAGTCGTTTATTTACACATATCGGAGAGTTTTACCAACTTGCCTTAAGACAAAATTTCATTTACATCGTAAAATTTCTAATACTGATAAGTAGAAATATGGTTAGTAGATTTGCCAAAATATTTAATCGCACTCAATATGAACTCTAGAATCGATAAAATAACAATTAAAATTTTATCAAATAAATTTGTATCAGCATGTGTTATGGAGCACATTTGAGTTCTCATGATTATTTGAGACTGCAAAAACAACCAGCTAAAAATGTTCGTATATATTTATATACTCGTAATTTATAATTTTTTATATCAACGATATCAAAATTTGAAAAACGTTTCAAATAGTATATTCCTATTAATAAGCAGAATCTAATTAAACATATGCATAATATTTCAGCGTTAAAAAATTTTAAACCTATATTATTGCTTATGATCCTATAAAGTGCAGCAAGTTTGGGGAATATGGGATTTCCCTTTATTCAGCAACGATTGGTAATAAAAAGAAAAAACATTGCACACTTATTTAATTTGTTTAAAATTAAAATAATTTACTTTTACTTTTTTAAGAAAAATTTTCCAAATCAAAAAGTCAACAAAAACGCACCCAACACCACGAATGGATTAATGTACGATTGAAGAACAAGAATAAATCGTAAATTTTCGAAACGTTGAATAAAACTAGCTGTAAGTGGATTTCTGTCTTAAGGCAATTAGGGCATCGTGCCTTAAGGCAAATTGCTGGAACTTCCCGTACCAAAAATTATTATTTTTTTAAAAACGATTAACATTTTTGAAAAATTTTACTTCGAAAAAAAAATATATTTTTGAGAAACTATAAAATTGACAAAAAAAAATTTTTTTTATTTGAAAAAAAAAATTTTTTTTGAGAAAAAAATTTTTTTTTTAAAACAAAAACTTTTTTTTTAAAAAAATGTTTTCTTCATTTTGACATATTTTGGAAATTTTGAACTTTTTTTTAAGCAATCGCACTGCTTGAACTGCATAGAGACGAAATGTCAAAGCTCGCAAGTGCCGCGCCGCCGTCTAACGCATAAGCATTGGTACGGAACCCATAGAAATGTAAAAAAAAATATTTGCAATGCAAATTCATTTGCATTTTGGGAGTTTTTAGTGCCAAGAAAGAATGGTAACATAGCATTGCCATAACAACGGAGAATTATTCTGTATCTTAAGGTCTGCCTATACTGGATATGTAATAAATCTTTTGGATATCATTCAAGTTGATGAGCATTTTAAAGTAAATTATATCGCTTTACATTCTTTGTTATAAATACAAAGTTTTTTGTTGACTCATTTTCTTAAATAAAAATATGATTCTTAAATTTATCCAATTAATTGTTATTCATCGATTCCCCATAATTTAGTTGGAAGAGTTTTGGACTTCCAACCGAAAGGCCCTAGGTTTGATACGCAACCACGACCAGACTGATATCAAGCATTAGAGTTGTCGGTTTTCACTAGAACATATAGAGGAAAATATGTTTTAAAGTGCGATTTTCTGGCACCTGTCTGTATTAAGTTCAATTTTAAAAGACTCTAAATGATAAAATATTTCGGAGATTGTTTTCTAAAAAGTAAGCTTGTTAAGGAATACTAGCAAAAATAGTAAATAGTAAAAGGAATAATGGAAAAAATTATTAATAATAATTGTGAAAAATTAATGTTATACTTATATAGTGCATTGACGCTTGAAACTTGAATTCATTAACCAAAACTCAAAATTGAATGGAATGCTTATGAAGATAATATAATTGTTTATTTAAACATAACCTCTATTCAATAGAGTTAACTGAACTATATTAATATTGAATTCAAATCGAAATGAAAACATATTCATGTTATATCAAATGCGTGATATGCGAATACAACCTAGAATTATTCAAATCAAAACACGTGAAACTTAACAAAATTATTTGTGAAATTATAATGAATATTTATATCCGGTGCCAACCATGTTATTAATAACAACCACGACCTGCATAATATTATTCAGAAACGTTTCCTCATCTTTATTTTGAATGAAACTAATACTAAGCATGAACTAGACTGGATAATTTAATTCATTTTCATCAATTCTTCAATGTTTGAATTGTTTGCATCAAATCGCCAAAAATGTCTTTAAAAGTAAATGTATATTGTAAGAGTTGATTTGATTTCGCACTAATGAATTCAAGATTTCCATAAAGTAATGCAAAATTTCTTTTCGATTACCGGCATCAATGATCTGAAATGGGCTCCTGGTCACTCCTGGTGCAAAAAATTGCATCACCCAGCCCGTCAAAAATTTTCCTGAAAGTAGTATTTTATGAAATATATTTAAAGTTATCTAATATATTGCTATCACGCGCACCTTTATGCGTCGGACTGTAAATATGGAGTTTCTCACAATTTTCACTATGCTCTTTGTATAATAATTTTTTAGAACATTCACGCATGAAAAACCGACTTGATCTCACAATGCATCTTAATAATTCATTATTTTACATTTATTTATTGCTGAAAAGTTTTACAAGACACAGCTTTCACGTACATTTTTCCCACCCCAGCAATCATTTTTCATCTCGCTATTTTATTAATTTTTTGAGGAAAATAACTTTTTTTTTTAAATATCAAGACAGTTTATTCTTATTATATTTACTATTTCCATTAATGGGGATGTTTGGGGATTTTCGCTTAAATTTTAGACCACACAAATTTACTTCCTAACTATAATAATTGCAATGGCAAACCCGCCATGCCAAACTATAGCCTGGTTGACCCATAGCAGCAGATGATACTTGGCTCGTCACTCTGATTTCCTCCTAAGCGGATATATCTTTTGTCTTTTTGTGTAATTATTTATTATTATAAATATTGCTGTGTGATTTTTTGGAAAAAATTTCTTTTCCGTCTTTTTTGTCACATTTATGGCATAATTTTTATACTCATTTAGAACTTATTACTGTTTACAAAACCAAAAAAACGTAAATATCCGAACAAAGTGAAAAATGTTTTGTACATATTTATATTTATCGAAATAAATAATAATTGAAATATGTTTTTTTGAAATTGAAAAAAAAATTCAATAAGTTCGTAATTTTTTGGCTACTCTACAACTATCCTAAAAATACCTCAAATATCGTTTGTTGGGTTAGTTGGTGAATATATATATATATATATATATATATATATATATATATATATATATATATAAACATTAGATATAAATATTATTTACATTACAATAGTTTTATTGTTAAGTAAAATTTTATTTTTAATTTTCAGACAGAAGCCCAAAAACTTCTTGAGTGCTCGCAGAAATGAGAAGAAATGAAAGAAACCATAAAAATAAAAATGATACGTGAACTGAAGATTTAACATGAAAATGGAAGAAAAGCGCTTTTTTGAATTTTCATTGATAAAGTATATTTTTTATTTTGTCTAGAGCTAAATTATTATATTAAATGTATAATTTGTTGAAGTTAATTAAATACTGAGAAACGCATTAATTTTATGCTTTTTATATATAAATGGACCTAGTATGATTTTTAGGTTTTTTAGATTTTTTTTCTTAAGATTTAATAAATGATAAAAGAGCAACTTCTGAATAACAAAATATATCAGATTTTTTTATTATTTCATTAGTCAGGTTTTCGATTAATGTGCAATGTATTGAATAGATTCGTCTTTATGGAAATTGATAGTTTTTGTATATTAATTACTTACAGACATGAGAACTTTAATTGTTGTATAAAAGTCAACTACAACTCTACAACTGAGCATATCCAAGTCGTTTGCTATAACCATCAAATATTATTCATCTTCTCACATTATTCTCTCTACCTGGTTATAGAGGGGTGTAAACGGTGTGATAGTGTTGACTTTTACTGTTCTTTAGAAAAACATTATCACTCGATATTTGATGATTATGATCCTTTAGGTGAAATCTAGAGTTTTGGTTAACTTATGACCATTTATTCGGTTATTGTGGTTAATTTTTATTAATTTTATTAATTTATACTTTGAGAGCGTAACCGTGAATAACATTTTTGGAAATAACATAGTAAAAAATAATAACACAATTGCTATAAGTCTTCAAGAATTAAGACATTTAGTTGAACTGTGAATTTAAAATAAAAGAACCAAAATAATCGAAAAACGGTCATAATTTCACCAAAACTTTAGGTTGCACTTATTAAATACTCACAATTTCCAAAAAAGGTGAGATGATTTTTTTTCTAATCATTTTGTAAGGACAATTTAGTCAATGCTATCACCCTGTTTTGGATTGACGTTAAGTTCTGGAACATCTTATATATGTTTGAACAGCTATGTTTTTCACGCTTTCATCTCCCATAGTATCTGTGAATAAGAAAAAAACTGAAATTAAAATTAAATTAAAAAAAAAAGTATAATGAATTTGCTAAATTTAGGTAAGTTGGTAACTTTGTAAAAGTGTCTACATTTTTAAATATTGTGATTTATTAAATTAACTAGATGAAACATTATATATAGGTATGTTTAAAATAGAAATGTGTACCCAAATATATATTGAAATCAAAACCTAGGTGGTGTTTTGAAAAATATTCGTAATTAAACTAGACCCACGCGCATATTGTTTCATTTCTCTTATAAATTATTCGGTTATATTATCATTATTTTTGCCAAAAATACTTGTTTTGTTTGTGAAATATAAACTACGATGTATAAGGAAAATAAGCTATAACAATTTACTTCGAGATTTGTAAGTGAAATATTTTTGTTGATATCTCAAAAAAAGTCTTGAATTTCTCATAGATAAACTATGTATAGCGAATAATTTCGTAACACACATATGCAATAGATAGAGGTCCAGTAAAGCACTTTTGTTTCACATTGCATTTTACATTTTTATTCAATGAATTTTAAAATATTCAAATATAATACAACTACATTCTTAATAATTTGACAGGCTTGATCTTAAATTCTGCTTAGTTGCGTTAATAAGTGAGATGCACTAACTCGTTTATTTTTTTAAATAGTTTTAATGTGTTTAAGTTTTAAAAAATCTATCTGCTTAGTTGCCAACCTGTCTACCTGTCTATCTTGCTATTTACCTACTTGTCTACGTTTATCTGCTTACTTGCCTTCCTGATCATTGGCTTACTTCTCTACCTGTCAACCTATCAACCTGTTTATCTTTCTGTATATTTTTCCTGTGTTTTTGGGTACTAGTACCGGTCTATGTATCTACTTGTGCAACTATCAATCTTCCTATCTTTCTATGGTTTACTTGATTATCTCTCTACTTATTCAACTGTCTATTTATCTACCTGCCTACTTGTCACATACCCATATGTTTACTCGTCTATCAGTTTACTTGTCTATCTGCCTACCTGATTACCCGTTTTTGCACAAAATACATACACATAACATCCATTATTCTGAGGTATGCCAAAATGTTTAGCAGACTTTGAAGTGTAAAGTATTAAAAAAATATTTTCATTTTTTTTTAAATAACTATAACTTACCCTACGGAATGTTTAATGAATGCTTTATCAAGAGGACTAAGTTTAGTGTAAGAAATTATTCGTTGTCATAACACATTTCAATGACAAAATGATCTATTTTTATTTGGAAATTTTATCTGGCTATCTATTTATCTGTTAATACCCCACCTTGTTACATTTGTGTTATATCCGTATTTGTATTATTTTATTGTTTTTTTAGCAATTGCTACACTATTTGTGCTAAGATTTTTTTAATGCTTTAATCGAATTACTAAAATCGTTATATTGCTGTATTAAAATTGAAGTTTAATTGGTAAAATAATATAAATAGTATTGGTCAAGATTTGGGCTTTTTCTATTGAACCTGGAACACTTCAGGGTAGGGGGTATAAATGTATGAATATAAATATCTATAACTTATAATAACTGAGGGACAAGCAAATGTAACGAGAGAAGAAGGTTGTACAGTTAAGATCAATATATATCGTAAACTAAATAGTGGTTTTATTCACATATCTTAAGGTGAATAATTATAATTTACAGTCCTCTTAATATCTAATTAATCATAATGATCCTGACCAAGTATTAATAATATTTTAGAAGACTACAGTCTGGTACGATCCGTTTACTAGCACACCGTCTATGCCAATACATTCTCTCGCATTCGCCTACTCTATGTGTCGGCTATCGCCTTGACTTAACCCACGCTGCGATCTATTAATATAACCATCATATCCACTACACGGACATCAGACCAAAATATTAACTTCATTGATATTCCTTGAAGGTCTCAATAATTACGTGAATAACTTACTGCAAATAAATTGATATTATTAACCCTAACATGAACGGTTATAAATTAACCGTAACCGTAATTAATTAGTAAATGTACTTCTGTACATTACCTAGACCGTAATTCCATTTTTCAATTTCCATTTATTGAGTAAACTTTACATTCATCTAGTGGCAGAGTTAATAATTTTACTTCAAAACTGAAATTTGTTTTTATATTCTTGAACATTTGTGCCAAAAACATTCGACAAAATCAAAATTAGTTATGAAAATAAGAACCAGCGATTTTGATCCATTCAGTTTTTGCACTTGAAAACCGGCCCACATAGTTTTTAATTACAAATTGACAAATTCATATATAAAGAAGTATACTTCAATTCAGTTCAATGGTTCGATTATTAATTTTTTGGATTTAACCATTTTGTAACAGTGTTGTGCTAATTCAACCGTTTCAACAAGATTCAACCAGAGGAAGAAATTTATATTTTCGCCTGAATATCCGACGCTTCAATTTTTCCACAATTTAAATAATTTTAAATAGTTTGGGACCAACATTGGAAAAAAGTATGTGTATGTGTGCGTATTTGAGACGAAATTGTACCTTCTGTCAAGATTTTCTCAAAACGACTGAAACGTTTGTATATCGATGAAACTTAAAATAACTTGCCTTGATTAGTCTTACGAAGCGGTCGTCTTCGCCATTTCTTCAGTATAGACAGAAAAATGACAAAATTTTTGTCAGCATTTTAGATAAAGATTCTAAAGAAATTTTGAAAACTTAAACAACTAGCACTGACCAAAGGTCGACATATCCAGTACCTATCCAGTGTGCCCAGATCTCGGCTCACCACGGGCACAGTTACCAACTCCAACCACTGATCTTTTATTGGCCTAAGGGCATAGCGCCGGTAAATTGCATATTTGGAACGAAGTTTGACCGAAGAAGCGATCGGCCTCGCCATTTCTTTAGTATTGACAGAAAAATGTCAAAATTTCGTCTGTATTTCCTTCTGGCTTCTGTCGGCATACCTATCCAGTATTCCCAGAGCCCGGGCCACCTCGGGCACAATTACCAATTCTGACCACTGGTTTTTTATTGGCCTAAGAACATAGCGCTAGAAAATGCACAGACTCTAATTGTACTACTCTGCTATAATCTACAGGACCGGTCCTCGTCCTCACATCAATTAATTACAATGTGTTTCCGATCACCTCCAAATTGACGTCAACACGGAACTGGATAGTGATGTAGCGATCAAGTGGCGTCAAAGAATAAAGCAACAATATTTTTTTAATATATTTTTAGTCAGTTGGAAAAACTCCAATGCAGTTCCTTTGATATCATTTATTGTTTGTAACAAAACTTAACATGGCTAGAATGTTTATGGTCTAAAACAAATAACATAAAAGTTATTTAATTACATATAAAATTCAATAAAGGGCTGCGCGAAAAAACAAAAATTTCATCTAAACTACAAAATTCTTATTTATTAATCGATTATTAAGTCAATTATTGATATTTGAATGGTATTTTACAATTTAAAATACAAATCTAAAAATGCGACAAACAATTTAAATATTAAAACACAATTAACTGGTTTGTGAAATTACGTAAAATTTGTTTAGCTTAGGATTTTTCTTAAGAATATTAATTTATATACTTTTAATTTCAATCTGACATACTAGGACATTCAGTAACTGTTTTGATTATATTATATGGCTTTTGAATGGAGGGCCACCCAGTAGTTGTCCAATTCAGTTGTGACTAATTAACTTAAAGTAGTTGTTGATATTTTATGTTGATCATATGCAGCTATAGTATAGGGAAATGGCGTAAATTATCCCAAATTTGGCAAAAATTGGATTTTTGGAGATATATTTATAACTGATATTAACTATATTCATTACGTTAAGAAAATAGCGCTAGAAAATGCACAGACTCCGAGCACTAAGTTAGCTTCAGTAAAATTTAAATCGAAGTTTAATTTTGTTTAAATTAAATTTTCAGTTGATGCTTTTTTTCAAAAATAATTTGGACTATAATGGAGTATAATATAAGAAAAGATATGATTGAAACAGTTCTCCAACCGCTGAGATAAATCCACGAGAGGCTCCCGATTTCGACTA